GGTATCCGGCGTTTGAGGGATCTGCGTGCGCCATCATAATCGTTTGTTGCTTTGCTTATTGCTGCCTATCTGGCCGCAATAAGATCTGCTGATCTTGAAGGTATTCGGTGTTCATTGAGTCGAGTCAGATGGGCTGGAAAAACAGTTCTGAAAGCTGTCAGCATCGCTTCTCTAACTCTCCTCGATTCATCCTTTAAGCAATCTTCGTCGTTCACATGACTGTGCGTTTCCAGTAGCTTTCTAGCCAGATTGGCTCGATACTCTTCAGCTACTGAAACTTGTCGAAGTTGATTAACAAAGCTGCTCTCTTTTGTACGCGTAGTGCTGGTGGAAAGCGAAGTGCTAAGTGGGCGATGGCGTGATCAGAGTCAAGTTGTGTATCCCATAAGGAACGACAATCCTTAACTGAGACTCTCCATCGGTAACTGATAGTCATACGGTCTAATTTAGTCCACGACTGTCTTTCGGTAACTGGCCTTCAAGTAACCCGGTATGTGCGTCTGCGTTGGAAGTTCGTACTGGCGAGCAACAGACGGCGATCTGCACACAACTGAAGAAGCCGCCGTCCGGTATCCGTGCGTTCATCATCGACTCCAAATCGACCACCTAACTGTGCTTCTACCGGACTTAGTCGTCACTTGCCAGGATTGCTATATCCGTCCTTCTTGCTGACAGATCTTGATAGTACTTGTTCTTCTCAGTCTCAGAACTGAATGTATAAAATCAAGACTACGGAGAGTGTCGTGGCATATCCAAAGCAGATAAATAAGCGCGCAAGTTTAAACTGACCCGTTGGCCTTCCTGACATGGCTGAACCTTTAGAAACTGAGTTCCAGCCAGGATATCCCACCGGATCATTGCAGTATATAAGCCCGACCACCACGACAAGGTGACAGCTTTGGATCTGATCTCTGTGATAGGAGTGTGAAGATGTGTGAAAAGAATTCCTCCCAGACGATCATATTGATGGAAGCAGCGGTTCTGCCTTCCCCCGAAGAAGGATGGATTGGAAATAGTCGGCCCTAAAAACCGCTTATTCAGATCATTTATTCGTGACCGCTGGCGTGTTATTCAATAGAGTCGAGATACTTTTGAAACCAAAAATCCCGATGTTTCTGAAAAGGCCCCCGTTGTTTTCAGTCGCATAAGGAGTGAGACAGTAATGTCTTACTCCCTGCGCCCTCTGGCTATAGTAAACCCTACAGCTGAGCAGGTCAGACTATTGAGTCATCGGCTGTGGGAAGGGTCTCCTAAAACCCACACCACCCCATGCCCAGCGGGTCAGACTTCTGAGTTGGAGGCTAGAGGAAGGGTCCGTGAACAAAATCCGAAATTCATTCGCCGTAGAACACCTTCAATACCATAAATACCAGGCTGATGCCAGGGTGGGTTTCACACAGCGTCCGCATACCCTTTTGGAAGATACAGAAAACTGTCGACATTCAGCATTCTTCAGGCACTTTCTCCTCATTCCATATCGCATCGATGGGCTTTGTCAGACGGGTCACCAGGGATTTCCCGTCTTTTCTGAAGAGAGCTGGATACAGACCGTCCGGTTCTGGTGCCTTGTCACATTTCAGTACGGATAGTTCATACTTTATTTCTTCCGACGGGCGAACAAGGTTTAGATCCTATTCGGCCCTGTGAACTATCTCTATAGGTTGTGTTGCAGGAGGTCAGCTGAACTGTTCTTCAGAGTGTTCGACCCATCTTTCCAGTCGACATTTTTGCGAGTGAATTGATGAGACTTTTTTGTCACTTATCGTTTTGCTGACCGTTGCTTTCCTAGGGCCAGTCAGTTGTATCAGTTGATATAGGGCACGGCTGTTTCTCGTAGCAACAGCCTTCTCTGTCTCCCGAGCTTCCATTGTCCGCCATAGCTCTCGGTCTTTCCTTAGATTCTTCATATTTGGCGTCTTAGGTGTTGGTGTGCACCGTCTTTTTTGCCTACTGGTATGCATTTGCTGGCACCAACCATGGATAACGATCTGGACGACATACAGAGGTCCTGTGGTCGGATTGGAGACATCGGAAAGACAGCAGTGAGCACCGCCAAGATAGCTTCTTTTGCCTTCTGCCACGCTTCGTTCACATGCTCACTGCCAATACAGTATTGGTTTATTATGGTGTCGGCTCACAGATATGGAGTACGCAGACGACATAGCCATTCTGGGGTCTGACTCTGTGGTAAGGGGAACTATTAAATAATCTAAGTAATTCCGCCTCACGGTTTGACATGCGTTTCACACATGCGAAGTGTAAAGTGCTGCTTCAAGACTGGGTGGGCTTGAACCCTAACCTCGTGCTTGCGGATGAACCGCTTGAGGTAGCAGACAATTTTGTCTACCTGGGCAGCTGTATCGGTCCAGATAGTCTAGAGAAAGGTTATATTTCCATCCGGATTGGGGAGGCCGGAGCAGCTTTTGTGGACCTGCGTCACCTGTGGCATAAGCATGACATCAGCTTGACTGTCAAGGGTCTATTTTACAATGCTGCGGTGCGCTCCATGTCTTTTTTATGCGGGTCAGAAACCTAGTCGTTGTGCGTCCAGGACGTCAAAATACTTTCCGTTTTTAACCATCGATGTCTTCGGAGCATTGGCCGAGTCTTGTTGGAACAACAGATCAGCAATGCTGAAATACGTCGAATGGTATTCGGAAGAAATAACTAACTAATCCGCTGGCTTGGCCACGAGCTGCGTATACCAGTCGCCCAGCTTCCTCAAAGGGCTCTTTTCGCGCAACCATGTGAAGGGTGGAAACGAGCCACGGGGAGGTCAAACAATGACATGGCAGCGAAGTTTGAAGGCCATTACTAGCAAACCCAGCTGCGATATTCATTGCCGTCTCCCTGGATGGGGATCTCGAAACGGGCCACATCAATGGTTAGCGCGATTGTCAGGCATGGCCAAGTGGCGCTATCGATGGCGCTCATGTCTTCGATGAATAGTTCCCTTCCCAGTCCCCCCACTTAAAGGTTGGCTGACAACGAAACTGTTGCACCTATAACCACTGTATGACAGGTACGCGGTTCTTGCAAATGATGATGCTTTGTGTCAGGTCAAGGTTGGCCACTTGTTTCCGCCGCTCTGAATTTGGAAGGGGAAACAGCACTTTTTTCGGCAAACGATGGTTCGGCACGAATAGTACATGGCCTAAACAACACAGCCTCTGGTGCTGGATACATTCTTCAATGGAAGTCGCACAAGTGAACACTTTTTTTCTATTTGTCCCGTTACGGATTCGTCCGCACCAACCCACACGAACAGTGGTTTTGAGACCACATGAGCTATGGTACTCGGACAATGATCGTCGAACATTTGAAGACATCTCAGTTCTGCTGCCCGAATAGACCAAGTCTCACGGCCATCTGATACACACGTCCATTGAGATCCGGGGATATACCGCTTTGCCGCCATTGGTGTCTCAAATTAGCAAACGTGACCTGAGCGTTGAAGATTCATGCACTAACCCCATCTATCACGCCACAATCGGAACTAACACAACTTCCAAGATATGCAAACCGCTCCACAATGTCGAGTGCCTCTCTCTGGATTATAAGTGGCGTGTTCAGCGGCTGCATATGCAGGAGCATGACCTTACACTTTGCAAGTGCAAAGTGCATTCCAAAGGACGAAATGATTTTGCTCAAATCATCCAAAAAAAACCTGCGCATTCCCTTTCCTCCAAAGACGAGAACCATGTCATCTGTATATTCCAGGTCGACAAGATTTTCGTCAGAGGCTATTTCAAACCACGATTTTTAAGACCCAGCGTTCGTCTCATTATATCATCGATCACGAAGCTAAATGTGAATAGAGTTATTTGGCGCCCCTGATGGCATCGCTTTGTGTATGGAAGCTTTTGGAGAGGTCTCCGTATACTCTCATACTTCCAGAAGTGTGAGAACACGGAAAAATTCTTATGTTTACGATGATCAAGCGTGTGGAGAACGGACCGGTCAACCGAGTCGAATGTATCTCGGAAATCCAAGAATACTAGAATTGTGGGTCGACTGTACGTATGGCGTTTTTCTAACACCTGACGAAATGTGAAGACTCCGTTAACGCAGACTCTACCAGGTAGGAATCCCGCTTGATGCCATGGAGTCAGTGTTTTACGAGCCACCATAAGGCGACGAAGCATCAATGACGCCAACACTCGTTACAACCGGGGGGAGGTCATCCGGACCAGCAGCTCGGTGGTGCTTGAGAGAACCTAAGCAGTTATAGGTCTCCGAGTCCGTGTGGGGTTCCACGTACACCGTCCAGGGTTCTACGTCATCTGGGGGCTCCAAATGCATGGCTTCTGGTGGCCACGATTATCGTTCGAAGTATTCAGCCCACCGGTCGAGGGGTGAAACGATCAAGTCCTTATACATAACAAGCCGAACGAACAACTCTTGAAACCACCTGTCTTCATCTTCAAGGCTGGGAACGAATATGCGACGGCTTTTCACACCTGACTTGTTGCCGGTTCATCGAGCCTCGCCGTCTCATCCAGCTGTTCACCACAATATTGACAGACCCATTGTGTATAGGATATCGATGAAATGGTGACAGGAAATCCTTGTGACTTTTTAGGTATCTCGTCTGATAAGTGTATTGGTGCTGCGCCCATAAACCTGTCTAAAATGTGCAACCGTGAGGCGAGCGAATTCCATCATTTCGCCATTTGAGCAATATCCCACCATTTTACATCTCGAACTTCACTTGCATGCGCGTGAGAGGGCGAATGTGTCCTGCGTTGCGAAAGCACATCCTGCTTATGCACACACTCCCGTACCAAATTGAATAATAAAAATAGATAAGGATAATTGTAAAATGACCCAAGATTCAGATGAGTTGTTAGAAGTCAGTGTCCCAGCCCTCACCTTCAAATCTGGGGTCTTCGTCTCACCGCACTCGTTCATACTTCACCAGATCTCGTGGTGGGGAGACTTTGTTCGGATGTTAAAAAAATAATCGTTCAGCCGTAGCACCCTTTCGGTCCCTAGCTGCTATGCCACCCGAAGGAAGAACGGGTACTGGGATACTGCCAAGTTGCCCAAGCCTTGACAGGGTTTTGAATGTTAAGATATTCTCTCAGGTTTCTGGGATAACTCATGCTTCGCCAATTGTTTCTTTGTCGAATCACTCAGTGTCAGTTCACGGGATTCGTCGTGGGTGTTTGTCTGTACCCTCAACTTGATAGTGGTCGAGAGGTTATAACGTCATAAATGCTCTCCAAACCGACGAACTTGCTTACCTCTGGAAGGTTACTCATTTAACGTCGCATAATCCATTGTTTTAGCAAGCCTTTTCATCCTGTTTCAGCGTTTGCAATGGCTTCTGCGATTAACTTAGACTATCTACCCGCCGTCAAAATGCTACTACACGCTGCTAAACACCCGGCTTATGCTGTGAATGGACTTCTCGTCTGCCGACAACAGGACGCTCTCGAAATGAATATTGTTGACTACGTCCCACTGTTTCATTCACCTCTCACCCTAACCCCCATGCTTGAAACAGCGCTGTATCAGGTTAGTTTGTGGAGATATAATACTATACCAGATTGAATCATATTGTACCATGTCTCAGCTCAGAATTTGCGGTTATTTTCAAGCCAATGAACATCTTCACGATAACATGTAATTACTAATTATAATATTAGCTTCTAACAAAATTAGGCCGACCCCCTTCGCCTACAAAATTGCAGAAAAATTGAATGAGAAATCCGGTCCAGCCTGTCTTATAATGGTAAGCGGTTGCTCCGTCAACTCATTCCATCCTAGTTGAAGAACGACCGTTTACACCCGGCTGAGGCAGGACATTTTGCCGTGTACTCTTTGTCCCAAGGCAAATGGCAAGAAACCAAGTAAGCTCCAATTTTTACACTTTCCAAACCTGATTTTATAGGCACACGGTTTCTGCCGAAGCTGCAGACCGGTTGAATCTTTCTTTGCAACGGAAACTAGAAAGGCGCCTTTACGACTTTGATGACCATTTGAATGACGTCAAACATGACTACCTAAATACTGAACTGAGTAATTTGATAAAAGTTTCAGTCTGTGAATAATTTATTATAGGCACCAATGTGATACGATCAAGTCTTTTGTTATCGAATAATTGATGTGATATTACACCTTTCGACGCCCATTGTTGATTGAATTACGATGCAGATAGACTGGATGGCCGTTCAGTTTTAGCCACCTGGTAGTTCCATTCAAGTGTCCAGTGTAGCTACACATACGCCAGTGGGGATGCCCAACCTGGTAACATGCATTCTTCACAGATCTGGAAGCAGTTCACTAGAGGAGTTGTACTGGAAATTCCAGTAACATCTATCATAGCGGCCGGGATTTTTTTGTTTCCTCAGGCTTAAGTGTTTAACCATCCTTCCGGCTACGATGCGAACGCTTCGGTCCCCAAAGTCCAATGAAACAAAAAACGCTAGAAAGTAACTATCAGGCAACAGTCAGCGCTGTTTGAACGTAGCCGTACTCAACTTTGTAATCGGAATGCGAAGGCAGTAAGGTGTTGTCTTCACATGTTGAACAGAAACAATACCGTTTTCCGAAAGGCGAGTTGGAACGATTGATCCGGACGAAATCCCACACTAGTTGCTCAGCCTCTGAATGTGGCCGCCCTTGTATTACCCAGTACGGTGTAGGAATGTATGCATCCAACCAATATCTCGATACGCATCCAGTCCTGCAGCAGTACCAGCTGCCCGAAATCTACCACATTCTTTGAAATTCCGGACCAGGCCCGCTTCTTACAACCAAGTGAATAGAATTTTAGTATATGTAAATACACTTTGGCTTTTCATATCGAACCTCAATAAGTCACAGATCTTAATGTGTAGTCAAAGGTTGAGCTATGCTTTCTATGTCCCAGTACCATATATATACCCACTTTTCTGCAGAACACGCCCTGCTGATTACAGTCGTGAGCTGCACTCATATGTTTCGCTCATAAATGCGCGGTATTCGTACACAATTTAGTTTTTTTTAACTTGCAGTTTCGCAGATTCAAATTGACTTCAGGAATGCGATAATTCAAGGAAACCATGCAATACAGTTAACCAGACAATCCTGCAACGCAGTCCAGCCCGATACACCAGTGTTTCCCGCCACAAAGCGGGATTTATGCCGCTATCGGAATATGTCGACACTGAGGGCATTTTACACTATCTTCTGATGGAGTAAAATTGAGTAAAATAATCAGTGTTGTCTATTTCGCAAGATTGTGTGGATAAACGAACTTCAGTGTTTCATATGAGAAAAACATGTTTCTTTCGATAGAGGAGAGGACGTAATGCGCAAACAGAGCACTCGACTTTCGAGACGCATTGTACTTAGGCATAGACAAAGTACACCCTTAATTGAATCTACTTCAGTCAACTGAAACAGACAGAACGGTTAGAAATCTGTGGCTCGTTTGGTAAATAAAATGGCTGTACAGAGTAAATACCTCAGTAAATAGCTGATCTTTCCATCTATTTTCTCCATAATTACGGGGCGTAGAAACCATGTGTACTCGGCGGTGCTATTCATTCCTCCAAATTTCGTCGCAGCTCATACCGCCGGACGCATACTGTAACGGGTGATGAAATATATCCTAGGATTTTAAGGCAAAATAAGTGAATGCGACTGTTCTAGATGACGGCGATCGGAAAAGCATGGTGCACCGCCTCTACATAGACCTTTGAAACAAGTGGACTACTTCCAAGTCACTATGAATCACTTTGTTAGGATACAGTGACGCTCAAGCGCAGTGCCACACAGCAGCATCCATGCGTCTAACGGATCCTTAGGCCTACCCACTTCCGTTGGCTTTCAGCCGAAATCCGACAATAATATGTAGGCCACTGTGTCAACCGTGAGGGGTATCCATTCGCGTCGGCTATATCACAAATGATTATTAATCCGCTTGTGGAATACTAATTGAATTCATGAGATATAGCCTATCTGTGCCACTCATTTAAGTGTTCTGCATGACGGCTGAACAGAAAATTCCTGTAGTGATTATGAATACCTGAACAACCAGTAAACAAGTTGTAGTGTTCAAAAGTTCCATGCGCTGGATGACACAGACCTACAGTTCAATGAATTCAACTCAGAAGTCATGCGGTTCGTAAATTGTTATCAGAGAATGTTAGCGTTGTACTGAGACTGAAGACATTAGAATACTGGTATTCGTTTTAATCGGAAGCAGAAAAAGACGGATTTCTAAAACCAATTATAGGCGCGTGCGGTAGGCTATGATTGTTTAGTAAAACAAGAAGAACAGTATGATTTGGGGCGCATAGTATGTGCACGGGATCGGCTAGTGGCCCTGGTAGCCCATACCAAAGTCAGATCTGTGTAGCCAATTAGTGTAAAATTTTATGTGGCGTGATCGGAATTATGCCGGTCGTAGAATATCAATCCAGCACCACCAAAGGTAGAGCGCACTAAAAACTTCAGTCAGGTAGGTGCGGAGCGATACGCCCTATACACAGGAGTCTAACTTCAGTGGTTTTCTGCGTTTAATCTTTCAGCTGTAACAGCCCTTCTGTGCCTAGCCGCTACACTATCCGAAGGAAGCATGAGGGCTGAGACACTGCCAAGATAACCATTCCTACACAGGAGCAGTCGAGATGCTGAGTTCGAACTACAGACCTTTCGTCCGTAAGTTCGCGCCCCAACCACTGAGTTATCTCGATCTTGTTTAGCTCGTAACTATCAAGTCTTGCGCTTTTATAAAGCTGGCTTTGTTTTGCCAGTATGACAAGGGAGGACTGACGTGCAGACCAGTTGTCGTTTTGGTGAGCGCAGCTGTTGATGGAAAATACTTTCTTGGATTAATGTGTCCGAACAGGCCTGCGGACGCGTAAACAGCCCGGAATTTAGGGCTAACTACCAAGCGTCTATGAGAGTTTAGCTACGGTTCTCTCGGTGGGAGCCTTGAGTTTGTTGATCCGCTGACGTCTCTTGGAATATAATGATTCTACCATAACGGATAAACTGTGTGGATAATAAAGGAGCGTTATTTCTGCAGTCAGCAACGAATCCCGGTGGAGCTAGAGGGCCATGTATGCAATGCGAATGCAAGAGCAGTTTTACTTTGTGGTTCCGGAACCCGGACCCTCCGTTACAGGGACCTCAGTTGTTTGCAAACTTTTGATCGCCGTAGAACAGCGAGTCAACTGGTGTCATTAACCAGCAACGAGATTATTAGACGAGCGTATTAAACACCAGTTGAATTCCGCTGTAAGCTCAAGAGACGAACTTACTGGCCGGGACGTCCGTGGATCAAACCAAAATCCGGCAGCTCAACTGCTCCTGTCTGGACTTGGGCAGATTCATATCAGGAGCACGACACAATCCGCAAAAGTGCAAACTCAACTGGTAACCAGTATATGCTGTAGGTTCGTGCAACCTACGGAATCCGGTTATAAGAAGTTGTAAGAGTACCGATTAACATAAATGCTCGAGATGGCTCAGTGGTTAGAGCGCGGGTTACCGATTGGAAGGTCCGTGGTTCGAACCCGACTTCTGTCCATGCTTGGACCACCTGTCAGTATCCCAGCCCTCGTGCTTCCTTCTGGTGGCATGGCAGTAGGCATCGAAAGGGTGCTACAGCTCAACGACTTCTTAAATGCCATAGAATGCAGCATGCTGTCATGTCCTATATCCACCCATATCACATGAACCAACGCACAGTCAGCGTCAGTTAATAGCGTTAATCAGCGGTCATCCGGTTATTTTGGTGAACAATCGTTTGTCATAAAAATCTCGGTGGCTTAGCAGTAGTTAATTTGCTCCCTCTGTTAGATGACTTGGGTGTACTGGACATTTACGAGCCGCCACAAATGTCACCTAATAGTTCACGATTGGCATGCATTATTGTCAGCGTGTGCGCCATCTTCGGGATTGAAAACCGATTATAGCTCGTAAGCGCGATCGAATCTACCAGTTGCGTTGTGACGGTGGACGATATAGTAACATCACCTAAGCCACCCCATATCATCGTGGTTTTCGCCTTCATCCGCTACCAAAGTCGTTATGAAGATAAGTAGCAAAAGCAGTTCAAGCATAGTCCGTTCCCTTCGGGTTGACAGTTAGGAGATTTTGCGATTAATCCCACATCATTGGCTATTGCACAAGGAAAATGGAGCAGCACGTTAGTAAGAAGCAAAATAGCAGTGCAACCCCGTATCAGCGGACCAGCTCTGCTGCGATCATCCGTTCAGCCATGAAAGGCAAATACCGTGTTCAGAGTTCCGCTCTACCCAGTCCGTTCCAAAATAGAAGAAGGGTATATTTCAGATGGGGTTTGATTTGTTAAAACAAATTACTCACGAATTTTTATACAGTTGGTTGATTGTGGCTACCTGTTAAGCTGGTCTAGGGCTGCGTAAACTTCCCGCTGTCTCCGGGCTTCCTCGTGGTTCCTGTATCGATGTTGTAAAGCGGCTATTTTCAAGTTGCCAGGCAGGTTCCAGAAAAACGGCTTCTTCTTTCCTTTGATCAAAGGCATCCGCCCTCCTAGTGCCAGCACATTTAGATCGCGTTCCCCTGATGCAACCAGCTCGCGCATCTCAGTAGCGACCGCCGGTCCTTCTCCAACATTAACGAGATCATCTAGAAAAGACTCATATTGTTCCACTGGTGGTCGACGAGGTCGTCGTCGCTCTGGATGCGATATGGCTAAAATTGACAAGGGCTCGTCATTGTCTATCGGAGTGTCGGATTTGGTTACTGTGTTTGCTGGCAAAGCAGGAGTATTCGGATCCACTGAACACCCAGGATCGGGTGACGCCAGAACCCGTGGGTACATGTCTTCATCCTGTGAGAATGCAACTACATGGAGACCGACGCGATTTGCCAGGTCCGAGTATGTTTGCTAACAACGAGAGAAAGTAAATGTGGCAAATGAAAGGTCATGACATTGAAATAATGATGAGACCGAAATCCTCACTTGGGAAAAGGGTGACCAGTCAATTCGGCCCGATCGACAAAACTGGCGTTTGTCATCAAGCAGTTATATGAGCAATGTTTCAAGTAGGAAGGCACACTATCAAACCATATGCACATTCAAGATGAGATAGAATAGAAGAATAGGTTCTCCTTTCAGATAAATTGACGACTAATGCATCGAGTAGCCCAGAAAGCGACCAAAAAACCTTTCTGGGATTTCTAACCCACTATTTAAATTTGACCTAGTGTGTTAATCAACACCTGTTTGCGTATAAACTTGTGATATGTTGACCTCAGATGGACACTCAAAACGTGTAACTTGAATGGGCGAACTGCATCGCGAATAGCAGATAACTAGACGTACTTGTTCACTGAGCAAACGTAGAAATCCACGAGTAAGAACCTGATAATTTCTTGCACTTCCCTCGACCTTTGCGTACATATCCTTGATTCCAATAATTTGGCACAAAGTTCGAAGCAGCCTGTGGCAAACCAACCCAGATCCTATTGGAATAAACGAAAAAAGTAAATCATGTCCAAGTCGAAAACATGGCCACATAAAGATAAGCGCAGAAGTGTTCACTAATATTACTGTGGAGAATCAAAATACACCAGCCACCCGGTTAATCTGCTACGGAGAACAGCGGTGGCAACTCAAAAAAATACAGTCTCCGGTGTTTCGTTGATTCACATAGACAAAAGCTGAGAAACAAGGTTTGGTAGTGACACAGTACTATGATTTGTCTTTGGTTTATGTTGAAAGGATCTGAAAACATACGAACGATCGAGCTATACATAATGGAACGTATCTACATGAACCCACCTCCACTATCAACTAGTAAATAGTGAACTGAGAGGGAGAATATACGAAAAATATCGCACGATCATTAAGTAACCTGTTCACCAGGAATACTTACCTTCTGCAGCTGGCTTAGCAAAAATAGAACTGTGCCATTCCCGGACATGACCAATGTGCCAGACTGGAGATGAAAAAAAAACAGAGCACAAGGGTAATGTGAAATTGACCAGAACTGAAGAAGGGGATATGTCACTATGTTTACTCAGCATCGATGACAGCAGTACATCGGTAGTAAATGCCTAACCGCAACATACACAGCGATGACGGTGTCCTGGAACTTCTGCGGGACATATTCAGTTTTACAGACTGCTATTCAGGCGAAAAACCGAGTCCTACAATATTGATGCCTCCCGTCTACACAATTTAACAAACAAACCATATCCTCCGACAGCATTTCCATTTTTCAGTTCGGTTACCGCAATTCGAAGTTTAGCGTTCGTCGGTGGATTGGAAAGGTGCATCTTAACTTGGGTACGTGGTAAGTCGCAAAACGGCCCACATCTAATTTCGGCGACTTGTTAAGTGAGGGTAAGAGTCTAACCTTGGGCAGACTGACATTACCTCAGCTTTCGTAATTCCTTCGGGTGGCGCGGAGTCTACGCGCCGAAGGGTGCTACACCCTCAGTAAACCAACAACGAACACGTAAATGAAACACGGCAATGTGTTGAAGGAGCTGTGCTGGTGTTGTTCAATGCTGTCTGTCCGACTCCTCCTATGCGATCAAATTACCACGGGATATCACTGAAATATGATGGCATGGCAATGCAGACAATACCGAGTAATCTAAATAAGTCTGCCTCACTTTTTGGTGTGCGCACACCTTAAATTGTAGAGTGCTTCTGCAAGACTAAGTGGGCTCAAGCCCAAACCACATGCTGGCGGATAAACCGATTGTGGGAATAAACGAATTTGTCCGCCTGAATAACTGTATCAGTTCTGGTGGTGGCCTAATACGATATTTACATCTGGATCAGGAAAACAAGAGCAGCTTTTGTCAATCTGCATCACTTGTGGCGCGCGTATGACATCAGCTTATCTGTTAAGGACCGAGTTTATTAGGCTTCCGTGCGCCACATATTCTTACGTGAGATAGAAGCCTGTCGATGCGCGCGGAGAACGTTGAAGAAATTTCAACGTTTGATTATAGGCGCCGTCGGAGCATTGTCCGAATCTGGTGGGAGCATACAATCAGTAATTCTGAAGTACGTCGAACGGTTTTCAGAAGAAATAACTCGCCCACGATATATCACTGATCACATTCCACAGGTTGTGCTGGCTTGGTCATGTGCTCCACATGTCAGTCGATCGACTTCCTCAGACAGCGTTTTCGCACAACCACAATAGGCCAGGTCATCAGTTGGTAGAGAAGTATGGAACCAAACAAATTAAGCTGCATTTCCATGGATGGGAAACCCAAGACTGGACACACCAATGGTTAAGACACTGACAGACATGTCCAGTCGCGAATGCATCCAAGTTATTGCCTTCATTGCATAGTTTCTCCTCCTTATCTCCCGAATGAAAATTATGCTGTCACTCCTGGATTCAAGCGTCAGCCATATCAGCCACTGCCTCCAATACGTAGCTGTCCACTTCTATTTTCTAATATCGTCGGCGAATGGAACCGGTAGTCATAACCACTGTACGTGTACACGGTTTTTAAAGCTGATGATAACCGAACGATTGTTAATTGACGTTAAGGAATGCGCCTTCCAAACAACCAACACTACTTCAGGTGTGTTGAGATTTCAGCCGATCAGGGTCCAAAAATTTCCTCCGGTGCTATAAACGGCCCTTGTAACACCGTTGACCTGAGTAACAATAGATCTATTGGTGTTTTTTAACTACCACTTATTCTTCTGTTCACGTAGATGGTTCAAAAACCAGTCCTTCTAAATCGTAAGGCTGGTCTCAACCTGGAACACTCGACGAGTGTTTCAGCTATGCTGCTCTCAGAGACCAGCCAAAATACAAGCGCATCCTTCTCCTAGAACTGGTCCGGACACCTTTCGCCCTGGGATCTGACAATTACTTGCGGACGTCCTGATACGTCCCTTGATTCTAGCTCATTGTTTCCCTAATGTTTATCATCATTAACAGCGACAGCAACATCAGTGTTGAGATAGATGCTTCACTGTCGTGCAACCCCATAGTTTATCTAACTATACTGCGAGCCCTATGGTGAAAAGAGTGAATTGAGGGACCTGGTGCTGACCTACGCTATCAATCCGAAGTGCCTATACCTCCAAGCACAAACGTCACTGAAATCGATCGGCTGCCAGGAAGGCCATTCCGTCCTGGAGGACGGAGCACATCAACAGCATATGAGTTCTTCGTAATCTCTTTCATACCATTCTTATACATTGTCCAACTCGCGGCACACGCTATTCCAAAGAACTCGCGGGGAACAACACAGAGTCGAGTACGGCTGCAAACATGTTGATGACTATGTTAAGTTCATCACTCAGAGCAGAAACGACGGATGAATTACCTATGCCAACTATAAGCGACATCAAGTCCCAGAAAAAAACGTACAAACACCGATACTGACGCCTTACAACATCAGCTGCGATGGCCTAATCAACCAGAGATTACTTCAGCTGTGAATCAGTTTAACGACAGGAAAATTGGAGAGTGACACTCGCCCCTGAGGTGCAGAGATATAGAGTCCTCATTATCCTTAACTCCTATCTACATTGTTCCGTTTGCTTGAAAAAGCGGAGTCCCTCTCTATGATTGTCGCATCTTGAGCAATAAACGTGACAAAACGGTATGCGGAAATTACCGGAAAATCAGCTTTATTGACACTCGTTAAACTGTCTGTTTCCATACTACTCTAACCATTTTCGGAAATACGGAATACTCGGACATGTTCTAACGAAGAGTGCTTCCGCCCCAGGAAGTGCCGTGGGTCAGTTCCGTAGCCACCCTGCATCGAATCTGTGGACACTGAGCTATGTCCACTGCCTGACGAGACACTTCTCATAAAACTGATGGAAACCTTTCGGCAACTGACGGCAGGTTTCGCCCTCCTTGGAACTCATCAAGTAGGCACAATTTCAATTTCCGTCAACCTTGTGTTGTGAGTTGTAGGCAATTGGTGAAATATACTCATTTGAAAATTAAGTTGGCGTTAGCACGAGACTGGACAGAACTGTAGATGAAGAATATCATAAACGATAGACGCAGCAATGATTCGGTTGAGTCTCCCATTAAACCCAGCTTAACTTGTGAGTGTATTTTGCCAAATTATTACGCGCTTTGTCGTAGTTAATGCCACATATGACTCTATCCACTGTGAGTAATTGCGGACTCTGCTTCACGCTGAGAGAATACCAACTCGTTATTCTCATCAAAGCTTACTCATCGGGTCCGAGATTATAGAAAAGAGTCTTGCGTTTGCCCCCCCCCCTCAAGTATGAGACAAAAGTGCCTTTAATTACGTGTGTTAATGGACGTCATGAGTGGGCAGCCAGCCGCGCCTAAACAAGTAGATTGTGGATTGGCTGATGACATTGTCTTACCTATCGAAAACCTAGAAAATCTACAAGCTGTACGCTATTAGATCGTCGAACGGGCAAACACCAGTAATAAAAATTCATTCACACAGGTAGATGCTCAACAGTTAACCCTTCAAGCAGATAGTGAAATTGAACGTGGCACAATATTTCCATACTTGGAGACCATTATTTTATCTAACAGATAACAATGCAGCAAGACACCTTTCTGCGGCTCACAAAGTCCTTATGGAGAAGCGAAATCAACCTGTGCGCGACGGCCGGCATATTGAAAGTGGCGATCTGCCAGTCCTTATTAATGGTTGTGAAACTTGATATCAAAGTGTCCGACAAATGGTGTCGGAGATTCATCGAGGCACAATATTCAACTCGATGGTTAATAATATAACAGCCCTTTCGGTGCCTAGCTAGCATCCCCGAAAAAAAGTACGGGGACTGAGATACTGCCACGTTGTCCAAGCCAAGACTGGATTAGTCGAGATGCCGGGGCTGGATTCGAACCTTCCAGTTAGTAAGTTAACAGCTTAACTATTGAGTTATCTCACGCCCGGTTGTGAGAGAACGCTGACTTAGTACCCCAAGTCTTGTGCAGTGCTGATGAATCCCAGCCTGGTAACGCCGTCCGAAAGTCTGAAAGAGAACTCAGCTTTAACTGGCTCCTTCACCATGCTCAGTGGGGCACTCCTTGCTTCGGGACGGCTGAAAATGTGCATCAGCACCGTCACGTCAAACGTGGGGCTGTTCGGTCTCAACCGTTGAAGGAAACAGAATTGACCTCCAGTCGTCATTCGTGGGAACATGTGTGAAACTAGTCGTCGTCAAGTAAAGTGTTACATGGTCGGCGCTGACATTATCTACAGGCAATTTATGGTGCATCCTCTTTGCACACGGGCTTACCCATTTTCCGGGGTTCGAGATAGCTTAGTGGTTACGGCATCAGCTTAAGGACCGGAAGGTCCGTGGTTCGCACCCAACCTCAGCATTTGGACTAATTGGGCAATCTGGCAGTATCCCAGCCCTCGTGCTTCCTTCCGTTGGCATGGCAGCTAGGCACCAGAAGGATGCCATAGCTGAACGAATATGCACTTTGCTAGTATTGCAGAGAAAACGCAAGAAGTGGACGAACGATAACCGTGTCGATAAGGTAGCCACGACGTGCTCTCCTTGCAAAGTCACAGTCTGTGGTAATTGCTGCATCAGGGAAGATCCGGAAATTCAGATATCCGTATGCATACACTATTCTGACCATTCGCCGTAATCTTGTTATATCTAATGTGTAGACAACTGTTCGTAGTTTGGCTACGGTCAATCATGCGCTGGTTCTATCGAATCAGGCAATAGCCTGTATCCAGGACGTGTTGTTCGGCGTTTCTAGACATGTTTTGAAATTTCCATATACGCGCCCACAAGCAGCTGTCAAGATAAGTTGATTCGTGATCAACTTGTTCTCAACACTTTTACTGTCATGAGCCGAAATGTTGGTTTCCACAGCATACATTGGAGAAATAGTAGTGCTACAAAAATTAATGTAATGACGTTTTTTCCCCAAGTTCCAGAAGACGCGCACAGAACTCCCAGTTTATGTTTCGGTGAGCGGATACAAGATTCATGCTTTGACCTTCTCATCTGGTTTCATTTATTACTAAGCTGCCTGCACAAGCTCTGTTCACTCTGATCAAAACGACTAAAAAGGAATAGTCAGTTTCCTTTTCACAAGAATCCTATGGGTAAACTGATGCTGCACAGCGGAAAATGTTAGAATACCACCAAACTCAGAAATCGATGGAAGGTTCTGAAAAGTTCTTACATATGGCACGGGGCCCAGAAGGATGGGTCGGGAGTCGAAGATCACCAAAATGGTCCCACATGAAGCCATAAGTGGGAAAGACTATCGCGTTCCCTGTTTAATTAAATGTCACAACCCACATTACCAACTAGCAAAATCAACTAGAATTGAATTTGTCCGAAATGTTGAGAAAATGAAATCTCTTCTTACACCAGAATGAGCACAAAGAGTTTCAGTATCAACTCAACGATCGGTCCGAATAACGGATCTCGTCGATGGTTTCGTTGACAAATGGAAATCACTACCCCTTGATGGCGGATGGGAAAACTCATTCTGGTTTCGGTGTCATATGAACGATCAAGAACCTACCATCCAACTGTACACGCCTTTGGTGGGCAGCTGCCATGCGACCCGCAAGAAGCACGATGGCCGAGATAATGCCAGGTCGCCCAGGCCTACACAGGTGCAGTCAAAAGGCCGAGATAGATTTCAACCACGGTCAGTATGTTCGCGCCTCAAACAATGAGCTATCTCGGGCTCATACAAACAACCTCCAAAGAGATTAAAATTCGAATACAGTATTACTCTTTTGAGGCGGTCATTAGTCTACAACAGCCACTTTTGGCCGTAAGTATGAATGCCTGCCTAATTGACCCTGACACCGAAACACTTTGGTACGAATCCAGCCTCACGTCTTTCCGTTCAAAATGTTCTCTTCTAATGGTCAGGGACAGATCAATGTCCTAGTGGCGTGCACTGAGACGTTCACCTAGCTGGAGTGACCACTTTTTCCGGACTCGTTAGTGTACGCCATGGAGGTTCTACTGTACGAAAAAACTATCAGTTTTGAGCACGACAAAACAACTCACGTGTGCGATTATCCTTCAGCTCGAAAGAGATCAGGCTCTTTGCTGCACGCTGCTTCGCACGTTTAATTGCTGCCGTCAGTGTGATGGCCTTCGCTTTTCCAATACCACATAGACCTCTGCCATTCCCAGTGGCTACCAGCACGGAAAATCTGCGGTACCGACCAACGGTAGCTGTCATTGTAGCCACGACCTAAATGAAAAGTACACGCAGTAAACCAGAGAAACGTACTAGGCATAAAGAGAAAGTATGGGCGCATGTATGATAATGCATTGTTAAGCAAGAAGCCATTCACATGTCGTGTTCGTACCGTTCCTAAAACAATATTCCCCGAGAAAAGTCGTCTGGTCAAATTAGCTAACAGTAAATTGTGATCACTTAGGGTTTCCATTATTTGGGAGGTCAATTCATCCCATGGGTCACAAACGAAGAGTCCATAAAAAACAATCTGAAATACCTTATTCTCCGTGAGGATGGAAGCGATTCGGGTGCCCGAATGTTCTTCGAAAATTGGGAGAGCGCACAATACGTTCAAAATATTGCGAGTTTAGTGTTCCGGTATCACCAGAGGCATTATTTACATGAAATAGGAAATCGGTTGGCCTAATGACAAAAGTAAAGCAAAGGGTAAGACAGGAACTTGACCTGCACTAAAATACATTAAAAAAAGTCAATAGACATATTGCCAGAAATCGCAGCCCATAGACATGTGGAAACTTGACCCTTACGCGCACACCAACTTGGTCTTGACAGGAAACTCACCTGGAACCCAGCTGAATATCTCGTTATGATGCTTCNAGCAGCTGCTGAACCAGGCCGCGTCATGTTTCAGTTGGTACGATATTCGAGATATCGCGATACATGTATGGACCTAATGAAGGTCATAAACGAGAGATTCAGGTGAGTCTCCTGTCAAAACCAAAGTGGAATACAGATGAGTGTAGTTCGCTAAGTTCGTGCAATTTGGGCTCAAGGAGAACGTAAGGTTGATGGGAACTCGGAGACTGAGCCTACCTGATGAGCCCCAAGAAGAGCGAAACCGGTCGGAGGGTGCCGAAGGGTTTTCAGCAGACTCGTGAGTAGTGTATTACGTCTATACATGTCTCTTAATCAAGAGTAAACCATTTAGAAATAACCAAGACAAGCATATTACAATGTACCTTCATTTCGATCACACGAGTGTCAAACTCAGGGTGTTCCGGTGTCGGCGGTCCAATCGACTGACCTTCCAGACGGGATCCGGTCCAACCACGGAGGAGTGGAGGGAGCTTAATCCGTTTTTTCTTCACTGCAGATTGGTTCCTCACCTTTTCCAGTCTTTGAAAGTAGGCCTCATTCATCTCACCCTAAAAACGGAAGTATCGGATGGTGGATGACGTAATTTTGTTGAATAGACTAAGGGTAGTTCTGCTGCATCTCTGAATATAGGATCCAAGTACGGTTGGTGACCTTAAGGCTCCCTATCTAGACGACGCATAATAAAAACTTCCAGAGGTTTTGTAGCTGATGTGGCGGGTCGCACTGGTGCTGGTCAGGCCCGAGGTCGGTGAACTGAGGCTTAATTGTTCAATTAAATGGCTGAAAACAGCTCAAATTTTGTTGTCTGACTTTCTACCTCGATACCAACTCGCACTGGTCGAAATACTGAACGACCTTTGTTCGCCTTGTTTTATCCGTTTATGCACCAATGAACCGTATATCTGGTTCGTCGAAAGACACCTACGGACGACTAACTACCCTCTTGCCCACCATGATGATCCCTGAAGTAGTCATTATTTTATATTTCAATGCACAGGCAAGGCACTTCAGTTTATCAGACGCACGTCTTGATCGTATGTTTAACCTGAACGCAGAAGACAATAACTGTGAACGCCTATTGCAACAATTGATTACCATTTGTTTCTCAGCAGAGTTGGATCAAGACGTGGTCGAAGCCATTGTGCTATCTAGGGTCCCCCACCACTGAGAAGCCTTGGAGTCGAACTACCACATCCTGGAGCCCGGTTCTCGTAATCGTTTTCATACCGTTTTGCCATGTCAACGACTGACCACGTCTCTGCTTGCGCTACTCTGAACTGGTTAGCAAACGACCACCCGGCGTGAGCACCACACAGCCGAACCATAAAAGCTTCTAATACATTGACTGGTCCTTGTTGCACTACCGGACGCTTGTTTCTAATCGTCTCGTCGCAGATTCACTGGTACGAGCCTACAGGAACTAAGTTCCTGAGACAGTGGTTGTCGAAAACCTGAAAACTTTTTATTTCCGCTGCTCGCGCAGGGAACTTACCGTATTGAAGCCTGATACGCATATCCTGTGAGATTCAGAAATATACCGCTTTACCACTTTTGGTGCCTCGAACTGGCAAACGGAACCCTAGGATTAGAGATTTAGTCAGTGACTGCAGATGCAATTGAGTCTGTTGGTTTTATCCGACACCCATTTATATTTAAAGCGTCTACCTCATAATGGACTGACATGTGATTCACAGGAAACACAACAACTGAACTCCGGAAAAGCGCTAAGGACTAGTTAGGCGTATCAGCATATGGCGGTTGATGGTGGACTGTCCGACTTCGGCGCATTGGACGCATGAATTTTCACGTCTGAACAGACGAACGTGTTCGCGCTTGAGCGATGTGATTAGTGTGACCGAACACATGGCCGCACCGTTGTCCTGTGATCCAACAAAGAATTGGTGAATTGCAACACTCAGCAACAGTCAGAGTGAACTTTCAGTTGAAATTATGTCAGTAAAAACGCCTAATGCTTGTTCCTAATTTATCTTAGCAGATAGGTGTACCAAGCCTGACCAGTGACTGAAAATGGGAGTATTCACTTGTTACGACCACAAAGATCTAAAACATACCGCCTTGATTATTCGTAGTTGACTTCCGCTAACCAAAGGCACGTTCAAACCGGGCCACTCCATATTTCCTTTACCCATACCGAGGCGCTGACCTCGGTGAAGATCTATTTTCGGGCGAACGATCCGACGTTTCCCGCGTGCTCGCTTCTTTGTGCTTCCTCTGGGTCCCGTCACACCTTCCCATAACCGATCTGCCGGTAATGAAGTGAAAATACTGCTCGTCCGGACAACGGTTAGTAGAGGTATCCATGATTCAGGATGAGTGTGCGGGAAAAGACCAACAGTCGGTGGAGGCTTGAAAATCCTTTTCACGTCACTGCTTATAGAAGAAACCGCACGATTTATTGGGGCGAAAAGTATCCTTCGGCTTCCAGCGACAATTTGGTTGCATGTGTATCGAACAAGTAATTGTAATGAAGTCATCGAAATGTTATCATTGCCTGAGGTGTACTGACATTAAAGACGAGGCTTCGATAAGCTGCAAGGGATCAATCACAATCAAGACAAGTTTGTCCAGTTATGTACAATGGTATGATAGAAGGAGCTGGGTGTCAAAGAGAATTTTTTCGCTATCAAAATTGTGTCGGTTTACCGGCAATTCACGACCGACCACCCGCCGAGATATATGCCGACTAAGCACAGGGGGGAACCCACCCTGGTTTGTGCCCATCGGAATAAAAGCAACATGAAGTTGGTTTCATGTCGATCCTTGCATCCTCAAACCTCTGTTCGGAATTAGCCGAAAGTCATCGAAATGTTATCATTGCCTGAGGTGTACTGACATTAAAGACGAGGCTTCGATAAGCTGCAAGGGATCAATCACAATCAAGACAAGTTTGTCCAGTTATGTACAATGGTATGATAGAAGGAGCTGGGTGTCAAAGAGAATTTTTTCGCTATCAAAATTGTGTCGGTTTACCGGCAATTCACGACCGACCACCCGCCGAGATATATGCCGACTAAGCACAGGGGGAAACCCACCCTGGTTTGTGCCCATCGGAATAAAAGCAACATGAAGTTGGTTTCATGTCGATCCTTGCATCCTCAAACCTCTGTTCGGAATTAGCCGAAAAATAAACGGGCTTTCCTAATAAAGAGCTACAGAGCTACTTATCTTAAAACAGTCAACAAATCGGACGATAAACCAATATGATTTGTGCAACGCATAAGGGGAGATAAATCACAAGTGTTTAGTGATGCTCAAAGGAACTCATCCTTCGCAGTCGATTCAAAGTGAAATGACTAATAACGAAGTCTCTCACTGAGAAAGATCATGTGCTGGATAAAACTGCACCTGCAGAAAGTTACTGCTTCTGATCCCAAGAAGGAACGTCCCAGCTGGTGGTGTTCGAGTAAGGTATCCCCCACGTCCGCGTCGTCCGTTGACCTCGGTACTTCGGCACTCCACCCCACCAGGACAGAAAACGGAACCGGAATCGAGTTCTTTAATCGCCATTCACAAGAAGGGTGCAAGTCAGCGTGCCTGATTGTGAGATACGTTTCCTCAGACCTAGCTTTCTACCATATCACACAAAGCGTTATCGTACTTGTGCATAGCCCATACTGTAGCCACTCAACGCACCGGAATAAACAGCCAACACAAATGCAAATAGCTGGTGCATGTCCTTAATACAAGATACACTTTTACACATGTAAAGTAAAACTACTCGAAAAGAGGCCATGCGCACCTGGTTCTTTAGTACAAGGCCGATTCCAGCGGGTTCAGCACGTGTCTCCGAACTGAAAACGACGTTCCTGTTATTACTATATAAGTAGTCACCTAGGAAGAAGCGGAATCATCGCCACATAGGTTCATAGAGTATTAGCACGATATGAAATCTACGCGCTACGTAACAGTTAAGGTTATATGAGCGTGGCCATTGCGAACTATTGTAAACGGCCAGAACAAACGGTGGCACTAAGAGTCACGGAGCAGCTGCGTCGTCCTTTGGGTCGTATCACGTGAAAGTCATGCATATCGGAAGAGGTTTGCTTAGGCTTCCCTGTAACCAAAGCAATTATGTCTTACGTTTAGATTTCTAACCATGCATCTTGTACAGGTGCATGTTGGTTGAAGCTGCACGATATTTGAAGCAAATACAATAAGGTTGAAAACGGTATAGACAGTGGTCCAGGCGATAACGATAAACGGATATTTACGACAGTGCCATAAGCTACGGGACCTAGTCAATTTAGTAAAGGTGTCTCACCACTGATGAAGCGGGTTCCTGACTGTGTACCAACACGGCAAAGGTCCGATGGTACGTTGACCATGTGTGGCCTTCAATAAAATTTTGTCCACAATGCAGCACACTTCAGTCGCGCTTAGTTGGTTTTCAAGACGATAAATTTACCTCAATTCGAATGCACCAGTGCTCAAAGAAATGCGATCTTCTTTTGTACTCCACAAACGCTGGTCATGTTTAACAAATGTAGGGCGGTAACGGACGCACCGGAGTGTTTTCCAACTTACCTTCTGCCGATAGCCTTATGCCACGTAGTCGTTCTACGCACATGAGTTGAATAACAATGGAGTGGACTCCCGTAATCCTGACACTCACTTCGCTGGCGATACTTACCCAACATACTTTATCAGGTAAATACTTTTGACAGACCAAAGTTTTGTCACTTAGTTATGCGCGTATTTCCTTGTCCGTTCCAGCTACTACTACTGGATTCGCAAGATGAATAAAATATGAATAAAATAAAATAAAGATGAATAAAACTATAAACTGTCTTCATTCGTACTGGAACCCAAGACACGTTCGTTGTACTTGATTCGTTCGCTCCTCTGGGATCAATGCACATACGCATGCACCTGACGCAGCCGATCAATGCACTCACTAGATTCGTAAATTTGAATCCACGGTCAACCGCACAATCGGGATAAACCTGTTCAGCTGTAGCACCCTTCCGGTGCCTAACTACCATCCCACCCGAAGGTTGCACGAGGGCTGGGATACTGCCAGGTTGCCCAAGCCCAGACAGGGGAAGTTGAGATGTAGAGGTCGGGTTCGAACCACGGACCTTCCGGTCAGCAAATTCGTGCTTTAACCATTTGAGCCATGTCGCCCGGATAAACCTGTGCGTTTGCGAAACCACTCGGCTTTCATTGCAGATAAGTCTATTGCTGAATGCATCACACATCAACAAACCGTAGAAAAACTGCACCCGATAAAAGTTAAACTGCTGTCCCAAATTTGTCAAATACTTGTACACAAGTGTAATGGTAAAGTCACAATCGGCACCTTCATTGGTCATAAGCTGTTGATGTTGACTGAAATTACCAAACGGTCCCTGCTGACGTGCTTTGAGATGAAGCCGTAAGAAGGTTCATCTGTCACTGGGATTCTCTCAGAACTGATGCATCAAAAACCACGCTAACCCTTCCAAAAACCATTGGGGGTAGGGGGAGGCGAACGCAACTGGGATGGTGTACAAGGCGACATTTTTAACACAATCCATACCACTTAGCCAACAAATGAAAATCGAACTCGGACTCGAGACATCTCAGTAGTTAAGGTGTGAACTTACTGACCGGAATATTCGTCCTTCGAATAGAACCTTGGTTTTTCGATTGCTCTTGTCTAGACTTGGGATACCTGGCATTATCCCAGCCCTCATTCTTACTTCGAGTTGCACGGCAGCTATGCATCGAGGGGGTGTTACAGTTGAACGCGTTTTTCGTTCGAAACTCAAATTATTTTACAACACAAAGATGGTAGCTCTGCGGCAGTCATCCATAGATAATCTAGAACCCAAAGGAATCTATGTCCAGCTACAATGGAAGAAACGGGAATTTTCTCCATACACCGTCAGCTCTTGCAGGTAAACACCTTTTGCTAGGGCTTACTGTTACCACAGCTCTTGTGCGTCCCAGAAACACAATGAGTGAGATTAGTGTAAGCACCCTCGTTAGTAAAGTCCGGTTCAGTTCAGTTCAGCTTGTCAGCCATAAACTGTATACCAAGGGTGCGTCGGTTTCATCTGCTACAGTTTCGATCACCAAGAAATGTGAGAGTTGGAGAAACAGCCAAGCATTGATGACGATGCCATAACACTGCGTGATCGAGCCACGTCGGCCAGTTCAACTGATCATGATGAGTGGCAGTGGTTGACCCGACTGAGTTTAACAGTTGGTGGTTTCATAATTCATTACCAGGTCGTGCACTATCCACTGCTCGGTGGCCTTCACTCAGTACAGCGACGGACGAGAAAACCTCTCGGAGGCAGACGGTATTCTGGCATCAGAAGCGCATGTCCTATCCAACGAATCTGATTAAGTGTGAGTGACTTATCCGTCGCGGAAGACTTCCTCTTGCCTCTAACCATCTAGCATACCTAAGTATTGTTAGCCCGATGTTACCACCAGACCCGGCCAACGCTTCGGAGATACCGATGGCCAAAAACAGACATCTTTCGTACGTTTACTGCACGTAGGGGCCACGTTTCTGGTCAATAAAGCAGTATAAGTCACTGCCGCCTTGCACACTCTACCGATGTTACGCCGGTACCATGGGCGTCTGCCCTGGCCTCCCAGATTCGATAAGTAATCTTTCTCCCGCCCAGACCGCCATAACTCATGCAACTACGCAGGTGAACAAACCTATTTGCCACGTCAATTGGCTCATCTGAAAGCACTAGGTTCGCGTTCGATCCCAACGTCTTGTAACAGCAATTTTGCAGGTGTGGAATACACGCCAAACTGTGAGGCAGAATTATATACACCTTTGAAGAATCCGAACATTGTTGGACATACAAATTTTGGTGTAGCGAATAGGGTCGCTTGCTTCTAATATACTATCAGTGATGCTACAAACAACAAAAACTAGCTATTTCCCTATACATAACCGTATGTTTTTTTCACCGAACACAATGCTAATCTTTAGAGATTTACGGAGGCAGAAGCCAATATGGTCTCAATTCAAGTACACATAGGAGCGCCACTGGCGAACACACGGTTTATCTACTGTGTTACGAAACACCCAAGGACACTATCAAGCAGAATCCAGATACAGATATTACGTTATTTATCCCTTGTCGTGACTATCCTGTATGTTTACATTATCGTTTCGTATTAACCATGCTTTCGCCTTCAATTTCGGCTTATGTACGCCGAGCATAAATTATATTCTTAGGATGATCGTGCATTTTTCAAGTTTGCCGATAGCGGATTCGTAATCTGAACAGTCAGCGATGTGAACGTATGCAGGTGCATCCACAACGTAGATTAAGGTTTCGAATTTACTTAGATTAGGTGATTCGACAGTGCCCAGAAAAGTTTGGAAGGTTCGGAACCAAAGATTCTGACGCGTTGTGGCGCCTGAGGGATTTGGATTTGTGTCAAAACACTTGGGTCGCAGCAACGGTTCCAATGTATTCTTAGAAAAGTAAATTGTTATGAGTAGAATGTCGATCCCGATTGAGCGCGAAAACGAGAGTGAATGGCGTAGAATGAATAGCGCTTTACTTGACAAGTAAAGCTCTATCAGATGCCCTCCACTCTATAGGCCCCTTCTCTGCGTCTCCAAGAATACC